ACACACACACACACACACACACATATATATATATATATATATATACACCTTGCTACGTGTACTGTGTTAGGCTAACCGAGACTTGTCATTTGCACTTATATATTGTTGCTCTTTTGTTAGTTTTGACTGCTTTTATTGTCCTCATTTGTAAGTCGCTTTGGATAAAAGCGTCTGCTAAATGACTAAAAAAAAAACAATGGTGAAGTGTTTTCTGATGAATAAGTGAAATGTGTCCACATGATAAGCACAGGTTCATCCAAATTACCCAAGGAATTACATAACCACTCATTTTTCTAATAGGCACTGTCTAAGTCTGTGTTTATTGTGGTTATGGACCTGAATTTGATTCTTGATAAATTCAGACTATTATGGAACATAACTGATGTCTCCAGTAAACAAACTTTGTCACTTCCTTTGATTTCCCCACGCAATATCCATTTCCATGTGCGTTTTAAATGTTTTATGACGTAAAAGCTTTCTATATCCGTCTATATTTCTTAATATAATTATTGTAAGCTTTATTGTAAAACTCACCCCTGCGAGAGGTCACAACAGGATGTAAAGCTGTGTCACGTGACTCCGTAAGCCGGGTTTGTTTTGCAAATCTGAACACCGCTGACGGGACGCGTGAAATACATCCGCGGGTCAGACTGTATTAATAAGACGCTAAAGCCGCTCAGCTCTTAGTAGAAATGAAGTAATTCTGGTGAGTGAGCGGGGCCTTATAAAAATGTACCGTGACATATTTTGCAACGTTTATGAGCCACGGGTTTCTCGGGAATTTCCTACTATGGTTTTTTTTAGAATGGCGGTGTTGGATTTATTTTCATAATCATTCATATTGTAGAACACAGCGTGAACATTGTTTCAGGAAATGTTATTCACAGACCTTATTTTAATATGATCTGTTACGTCATGACAACGGAACAGCGCAAACATTGGTAGCTTACATCAAAAAAGCAGATCATATATTCATTTATTATGATTAGCCTATATACTAAAATAAATCTGATTTTGGCTGTATTTTTCATAAATGCGACTTATTCTTGTAATTATGATTTTTATATGTCATAAATGTCACTTTATATCTTACAAAGTGACTTTATATCTCATGTGACTTGATCTCATAATTGTTACCTTAGATCTATGTGATATATTTCTTATTTTAAACTATATATCAATTTTTTATTTTAAACTTTGAAGTAGAAATGGGCTTCCATAGTAAATAAAACGGTATATGTACAGAAAATATCAATCTTAATACACTAATAAGGAAATTGTTACTGAATACAAAACATTTTTGGTATTTATTTTTTTTTATTTCTAATTTCTAATAATTACATTAATTGGTTATCATAGGGAAAACGAGTCAATGACTACAGCGATTTAATTCTCATAAGCGTTAAGTACACAACACAGAAATTCTTGATTCATTTCGATAATCATTAATGGCACCAAACATCATGAAAATCATGTGATTTAAGTATTTAGAAAAAAAACCTGTGCTAAATTCCCAAACCTAGTGGTAACTAAAGTATTTTTACAATTGACCCTGGTATATTTTTGTGCCTGCCTGACTCCTTCTCATAGTGATTAAACTAATCACATAAAGACGCTGCCCCATCTACCTATTATTTACCACAATGACATGACAACATATGAAATGACAACAATGTTTGAACAATCTCTTTTTCATTTGCATGTTAATATTGTCTATGGGAAGGTTAAACCGTTTGAGGTTAAAATGGTTTATAGCACTCTTTGTCTTCTATTTGAGTGCGTCCCAGTTCATGAGAAGATTTGTCTTTGGCTTAAAACACTGCCATTATTGATGTCCCTGATCCAGTCTGGCCTTGACAAACTCCACAATAAGAGCTGTGCTGTGCTTTGAAGAATCTGCACACACCTTTGTCCTATTCAGCTGCAGATAATGGGGGGGAAAGCAGCATTGTAAAATCTGAGCAACACACCCTTATTAGCAAACAGTCCAGCTCTATTTTGTCCAAATGTCCTAGTTTGTTTCTCAGGAGAGTTTTGTCCTTGGCAGCAACAGGGATGTCACTTTAGGGGTGGATGATGTGAGCACTGTGTTTATCCACCGAGGTGAAACCCACAAAATTGGACTGCAAACTGAAGTAGTTTCTTTCTTTCTTTCTTTCTTTCTTTCTGTTTCTTGCTGTTGGTCTCCTAACTTTACTCATGTGGTTCTGGTTAATTTTTCTCCATGTGCAGACAGGCGCACTCTTTGTCTTCTATTTGAGTGCGTCCCAGTTCATGAGAAGATTTGTCTTTGGCTTAAAACACTGCCATTATTGATGTCCCTGATCCAGTCTGGCCTTGACAAACTCCACAATAAGAGCTGTGCTGTGCTTTGAAGAATCTGCACACACCTTTGTCCTATTCAGCTGCAGATAATGGGGGGGAAAGCAGCATTGTAAAATCTGAGCAACACACCCTTATTAGCAAACAGTCCAGCTCTATTTTGTCCAAATGTCCTAGTTTGTTTCTCAGGAGAGTTTTGTCCTTGGCAGCAACAGGGATGTCACTTTAGGGGTGGATGATGTGAGCACTGTGTTTATCCACCGAGGTGAAACCCACAAAATTGGACTGCAAACTGAAGTAGTTTCTTTCTTTCTTTCTTTCTTTCTGTTTCTTGCTGTTGATCTCCTAACTTTACTCATGTGGTTCTGGTTAATTTTTCTCCATGTACCCTCAAGCAGACAGGCCTCCCATGGCCCAGAGAGCAAAGAACGAGTATACAGACCCAAACTGACCTGAAGAAACAATGGGTGTGGTGGCACATTCCGTCTGCCATGCCTCAGGGGCTGCTGACAGAAATGGCAAACACAGGTGGGGAGTTTTGGTCCAGTGCAGCAGACCTGAAACCAAAGCTGAATCAGAGGCCAGGAAGACTTGACCTCACTGAAACGGCTGCACGGTATCTTACCTTCACACATACACATACTGCAGGTTCTGGCCCCCCTGTACATTGTGTGAATGTAGACATAGTTTCATGCCAGTGAGGTGGAAGAGGAGGCCTGTATACAGATAGGGGTGGATGGGTAGGCACATCAGTTTCATGGGGATTTCTTCAGGCTGTCTTAAGAGATTCTTAAAAACAAGGGAAGAGGGTCAAATAAATAAGGATGTTGGTATCATTATTTAGCACTGATGTCTTTGTTTCAGAGTTGCTGGATGTAAATTTGCTGTAAATGTAAATATATATTTTGTGATTTGTGGATTTGTAGGCCTGGAAAAGGCTTAGAAATTAATAGAATCTTAAATAAGCCACATAATTTTTTTTATAGTAAATAGAATGTATATTTATATTAAGTAGCAATGCCTCTTAACATTAGGGAGTACATTAAGTATCAATAACTATCAATAATTTAACAACATTTATTAATTTAGGTTAATATTTCTACATATACTAATAATTAAGAATTAATTTATCAAGTTAATAATAAATAAATAAACATGATTACCAATAAATTACAGTATATCAATTAATATTAACCTAGATTGATTAATGCTGCAAAAAATGTTTATTGTTCATTCATGATGCTTGAATTGAGCGAATTGAGATAAAATTGAATTGAGTTCATGATACCATGAACTGAACCTTCATTTAAAGAGATATACATTTTTTCAAGTTGCACAGATATATATAAAAAAGTATATTTCATTGTTAGAAAGTTATTTTTTGTGTGTGTGCAATCTCCATAAAGGTTTTTTTTTTAGATCCATATGAGCTTGGCTTATGAATATTAATTAGGTGATGTAAGTTTCACTCAGTAGTCCTAAATGAAAGGTGAGGGCTAACCATAGTAAATTACCACTTGCTAATTGCAAGTTTATGCATTTTACTGTCATAGCAACTGTCTGTTAGAGACCTTTGCTTCATTCTTATTTTCATGGTGGTTGAAACCTTTGACAAATAATGATTATTTCACAAAAAGTAGGGGAGACCTGTCTCTTCAGTTATAATGGTTGCACCACCCTCAACCAGTATATATGAACAACTAGAAAAGTCATGGGAAAGTCACTGAAATACATTGGTCAAGGTGTGGGAACCCAGTCTATTAGCTAATGTTTCTCACCAAATGTCACCCCTGATGTGTATATTTCAACCTCTAAAAAAAGAAAACCCAAAAGCTTTCAGTTGTTTAGCTACTATTGCTCACAATTGGACAAACTAATTGGTGTTGTGTAACAGTGGTGGAGTGTGGTAACAGGAGTCCCCCTGGGCCCATATGCTGGGGGCAGATGGACTGTGTGTTATTGAGGGGTACGTTGAATATAATCAACCACTCCAGATGGCCCAAAACAGGTGAGGACCACCAGCGTGAGCTGATCTAATCTCATTTAAATTTCATCAGCCATTTCTCTAAACCGCTTCAAGTGTGTGTTGTGAATGCATTCATTATAAGTGAGTGAAATGTTTTATCTTAATCTGCCTCATGTCTTCATACTTGTAGTTTCTCCAATCAGCAGCTTTTGCTTAAATTCTAAGTACAGACGCTACAGCGACCACACAACTCAAATGTTTTCTTGAGCCTTTTCATCTGAGGGGGATTTTTAGTGGCTTATGTTCATTTATACTGAGAGGTTTGTACTCATTCCATTTATTTCCCCTAATATTCCTGATCGTTGTAGCATTTCTGGAAATGACCACATGTGATTGCTTTTCAAAACAAATTCATAATGCAACACTAATTCCATTATGACCTCCATGAAAACATGAGTAAAGAATGCAAAAACTTTCTGTCTAGTATGTATACACACGCACACATATTTGTACACTGTTGCACTCACATGCACATGACAACAATCATGATGTCAAAAAGCAATACACTCATTCTCTACAGCCCGCATGTAGATGCATATCACGCTTCTTCAGTGAGATAGAGGGAATAATTGAGACAAGAAAGAGAAGAAGTATATGTGATGTTTGCAGTGTGGGGGATGAGGGTATGTTTGTGTGTACAGAGGGGGTGAGATGTGGGGGCGGAGAGAAAAAGTGCTGGCTCGCCTCCAGCACTGACGAAAGCTGCTTAACCCTCCCAGTTACCATAGAGACTGTCAGGCGCAGCCACCAGTGTGAGAGAAAGAGAGCGAGGCAGGGAGAACACCAACAAGCAAAGGCAGAGGATAGAAGTGGCGAGGGAGAGGAAAAGGAAAGAAACAGTTAGAGACAGGGTAAAATAAAGGGAGAAGAAGAAAGAAAGAAAAACAGAGGGTGCAGTAGAGATAGTGGCAGAGATGGAGGTTCAAAACGAATGCAGTGATCCGCCTCCATGTGATCCTCAGCCAACAGGAAAGCTCAACAAAGCCGCCTTCAAGCTGTTCGGCAAGCGTAAGTCCGGCAGCAGCATGCCGATCATCTTCTCTGTCAAGAACAAAGGGGAGTCCACCGGTAAAGCCGCTGGCAAGACGCTGGAGCTGGTTAGGAGCAAAACCCATGATGGCTTAATAACGGACACTCCTTCAGAGCTTGGTGGCCACCGGAAAGAGGAATCTGCCAGTAGCGACCAGCTCCACGCCGGCACACCAGATGGTGTGTCCACTGCCCCCCTCTGCAGCTCCATCACCAAGTCTTTCAGCTTCTTCTCTTTACTGCGCCGGAGCAGCAGCCGTGCAGGAGATGGAACTACTACGGTGGCACGACGAGGACGAGGACTTAAGGGGCTGTTCAGCAGCATGCGTTGGCGGCGGAAGCCCCAGGTTCAAGAGGACTCCTTGGAGGTGGGCAAGGAGGTAAAGGAGGGAGACCTAATCATTTCCTCTTGCTCCGGCAATGTGAAAATGGAGAAGGACATAACACTAACTCTTGAGCCCCTGCCGCAAGTGTTTGAGGAGCCTCCTCTCCCAGGGGAAGCTGAGAAATGGAAGGCAACATCTATGCAGGAATTACAGGGTACTAATGAAGAGGAGTGTGGTAATTGTGGTCCTCCCCTTTCACAACAACATACAGTCACTGAGGAGTCTCCAGCTCCTTCTCCACTCCGAGCCCAGACAGAAGGGCTCCAACCTGATAAACAAAGCAGTTCGACACACCTGTCCTCCATTCCGACCTGCGCTTTGACCCCTCCAATGGAGCACAGCACAGCTGACCCACAATCTGAGCAGTCTGTGGATCGCCTATGTTCCATGTTCACTGATGTTACTTCACTAAAAAGCTTTGATTCTTTAACAGGCTGTGGTGACATCATCGCTGATCCAGAAGAGGATTCTGGGAATGGGGGAAGTGCCACGAGCAGTGGAACCGGTAGCAGTAGCGGGGGATGCATGGGTCGCAGATTAAGTGGAGCGGGGACAATTTCAGAGAGATGCTCTCCTGCCAAGCCTCCACTTCCTCCTCAGGTCAGTAGCATTACATCTGTCCATGCTTCTTGCTACATGCCAGCCCACCAAAGACCACGTGCAGCCCCTAAAAAGCCACAAGGTAGTGGAGTTGTTGCTTACATGGGTGGCGGGGAGGAGATGGCTAGTCCAGAGGCGGTTGATGATGCTGACATGCAGGGTCTATGGCATATGTTGCCCCAGAAGGGTGAAGACTCCCCAGCCCTACGACGTGCAGAGCCTGTCTTGCATCATGCACCAACCCGCCTTGAGAAGAGGCCAACTCAAGTAAAGGCACTTGGCCTCAGTAAGATCCCTGTGAGTGGAGGTAGCAAGATGGGAAAGCAGCAACCCTCACGTCCCTCACCTCCCCCTGTCGATAAAGAACTCCAGGATGCCCCACCAAGTGATGAAGGCTACTGGGATTCTCCCACACCTGGCCCAGAGGATGAGGATAGCACCTTCCTACGTCGGGAAGGTTTGCTGAGGGACAGCTGCTCTGGAGATGCACTTTATGACCTCTACGATCCCGACAGCCCTAGTGCTGCTGGCTCTGATGATGATGTGAGTTCACCAACAAAATCTGCAGGTGATCTAAAAATTAACTTGCCTTCCCCAAAATGCTCATCTTCCACCACTTCCTCATTCTGTTCCATGAAAGGCAGCACCAGCCTACCTCGAGATTCCAAGATCCCTATTAGTGTGAGGCAAACACCACCTTCCCATTCTTCCAGCCAAGGTGCACTGTCTTCCAATCTTAGCCCCACTTCAACTACCCCTCCTAAAAAGACTGATGCCCCACCACGCACTCGAATCCCTGTCTCGAAGGTTCCTGTCCGTCGTTCCGGCAACAAGAGCACCCCCACCTCACAAAGCAGGAAGTAGAGAGCTTGGAGGCCCATCAGATGTTTCTGACAATACAAATCTATCACAAGAGCTTTAGGCCAAAACACAATGTTTTTTAATATAAAGCAATCAACTTACAATTATTTGATTTCACCCATTTACTGATGACTATATCTTTACTGTGTTTTTACATCTTTCGAAATGATTTTTTTGTGATGTTGCATATTACACCCTAATGTAATTAAGAGTTTTGTAGAATGGACTGCTATATGTAACACATGACATTCATAATAATGTAATCTTGAAGTTTTTTTTACACCAGCCTTTCAAAGAATAATAATGTGAGAATGCTGATCCTAAGAAGAATGTTTAATATCAAAAAGTTTCTCATTCCCTTCCATTGGATCAGTGAAACTGTGCTAATGTCTTGCACTGTCGTCCCACAAGCAATGTGTAAAACGCAGCTGCAATCTTTTATCTCTCCAGTATTTTACATGTAATGAATTTGGAGACCTGTGTGAGATTAAACCAAGCACTTCAGACACTCCTAAATAAAGCTGCATGGAGTCTTGTACATTTAAACTGGATCAGGGAACAGCCTTTTGTTCAAGACACTCTGATGAAAAGTAAAACATTCTTTTTACTGAATCTTCGATTTTCTTACTCTTTTATATTGGACAAGGAACTCCCTGTGACCTCACTGTGGATATGTGTGCACTGCTTGTTTTGTCTTTTGGAAAACACGACTTGCAAAAAATAAATCCCTGGATTGTGAGTATCCTCTTTTTTCACAGTGGTTTGTACTACTCCCGCTAACCTGGACATACTGAACTGGATATTTTTGAATGTAGCATGACATCATTCTACACAAAGGTCTGTTTAATTTGCCTGCTCACTACTCAATAAATTAAGGAGAGAGAGATATGGAGAAGCCCATATATATAATGAATTAACTGTCTTCCGTCATGTGACCATTCTTCTGGAAATGTTATCACCCTTTGGCTCTAAGATTTGGACTGGGCTTCCATAGGAAGGTTTCAAGTGAGCAATTACTGCAGAAATCGTCATCTTAATCAGTATTTTTGGTGAGTTTTCCAGTATAAAATACCAAAATGACCTTAAAGCAACATAAATTGACTTTTATAAAAAAAAATAATAAAAAAAACATTTTCACAAGAAAAAATAGTGATTAAGAATTTTTGTTTTTTGCAGTATTTGGCTTGATCCACCAGTCAGTAATACGGTTAATATATTTTTTTTTCTTCACCACTAGGACATTTTATGTGTAAACTGTAAAACATTTTTCTCTTGAGAAGGCCCATGACATGCCTTCTGTCTTTTATATGCTTCCTTTATTTAAATTGTTCTTTATTTAATAAATAAAACAACTCTCAGTGTACATCCAGGAAGTGGACATCTATTCAAGTGTGAATGCCTGCATCATTTTCCACACACATAACAGGGCCATGTGGGCAGCTTACATGTTAGCTGTTTTAATCGCTGAGACATAAAGGGCATCATGGTTGTCTTTTTTGCAGCCAGCAACAGTCTGCTGGGATTTAAATCCCACCCATAAGGAAGATAGAAGAAAGCTGGTTTGGGTTCAGCTGTCGGCGTGAATCCGGTTGACAAAGGGAGGTGTATACTGTGGGTTATCGGGGAGAATTATGGGCTATTCTTCTTCCACTCTCATGGATCTGTTATTGATGTGGTTTTGGGAGAGGGAGGTGAAAGAAGGAAGTGCATGTGGAGTGAATACAGATAAGAAAGAGCTATGCTTGATTTAGTGCTTGTTCATTAAGGCCAAGTGGAGACATGGATGTGTGTGTGTGTGTGTCTGAAGGGGGGATTTGGTGCAGTCCCAACAGTAATGGTGCAGCGAAAAAAAACATTCATTTAATAAATAAAACAACTCTCAGTGTACATCCAGGAAGTGGACATCTATTCAAGTGTGAATGCCTGCATCATTTTCCACACACATAACAGGGCCATGTGGGCAGCTTACATGTTAGCTGTTTTAATCGCTGAGACATAAAGGGCATCATGGTTGTCTTTTTTGCAGCCAGCAACAGTCTGCTGGGATTTAAATCCCACCCATAAGGAAGATAGAAGAAAGCTGGTTTGGGTTCAGCTGTCGGCGTGAATCCGGTTGACAAAGGGAGGTGTATACTGTGGGTTATCGGGGAGAATTATGGGCTATTCTTCTTCCACTCTCATGGATCTGTTATTGATGTGGTTTTGGGAGAGGGAGGTGAAAGAAGGAAGTGCGTGTGGAGTGAATACAGATAAGAAAGAGCTATGCTCGATTTAGTGCTTGTTCATTAAGGCCAAGTGGAGACATGGATGTGTGTGTGTGTGTGTCTGAAGGGGGGATTTGGTGCAGTCCCAACAGTAATGGTGCAGCGAAAAAAAACATTAACTTCTGAGCAGCTCTTGCTGCAGTGTGGCTTCTTATGTAAAAGCCTTATGTAACACCATAACCCTCTGATATCATCCATACACATGAGAAAACTGCTGGAATTTGTGTATGTTTGTGTGTTTATGTGTGCAGAGCTATTAACTGCAATGTTCTAAAGAATTAGTTAGCATTAGCCATGACTGTGCTGTAATTGGGTCAACTGGATTTACCCTTTAAAAAGTGTTTTTTTCTGTGTGTGTGTGTGTGGTAGCAGAAAATTAGACATTACTGCTGTATGCATAAGCAGAGCTGACTGTGAGTGTGTATGTGTGACTAATGGTTGGATGGCCTAGTTTTCAAAGACCTGATTCTGTGAATGAGAGAGAGAGAGAGAACAGGGTCACAGGGAGAGAAAAGTGGTTTATTTACAAAAACACTGGTGTTACTATGTTACTATGCTACAGCGATTGTCATGGTACTTTGGTATACCATGATATTTTATATTAATATACCACCATTTTTTAACCGCACTTTTCTTTGGTGTGTGTGCTTCAAAGAATACCATGGTATTACCATGGTGGAATGCCTAAAAACATGGTAAAACACTGTTTACAAAATGCATTGTAAATATTGTAAATGCTTGGCTCAGACAGCAGGTCTACAATTAGCTACTTACTGGCCATTGGGACATGATGTGTTGGCGTATCACTGCTCTGTCAGACAGTTAGCATGTGGCTGATGGAAGGGGGTGGCTTAACCTGATGATCCCTGAGCTCATATTATCATTAGCTCTCCTCGTACCTGGGAGCCGGATGGGATACCCCAGGGCTCTATCCTCGGTTTGACACCCGCAGGGGCTTAGAGGGCCTGTTTAATAAGCTCAGAATCTGTTCCAAAACTAGGGCCAGAGGCAGAATCATTAGTGTGGCAATTCAGCAACCATGCTCATGGTATACCCTGAGTGTTTGGGAGTCTCTTATGCTCACCATGGCTGCACTTATTTGATCAAAAATATAATAAAAATGGCAATATTCTGATATATCATTGAAACTTAAAATAACTATTTTCTATATTATATTTTAAAATGTAATTTTTTGCTATGATGGCAAAGCTGGATTTTCAGCGGCCATTACTCCAGTCTTGTGTGCCCCATGATCCTTCAGAAATCATTCTAAAATGCTGAACTGCATGGTGCTCAAGAAACATTTCCTATTATTGTCAATTTTGACAAACATTTGTGCAACTTAATATTTTTGTGGAAACCAATATGCATATATTTTATTGTTTTTTAATCATAGTATATATATATATATATATATTTTTTTTTAATCACTTTTTTTTAATCACAAACAGAAAAATATGTACATTTTTATGGCTAAAATGGCCATACATTTGGCATATCGTTAAAAAAATCTACTATTACATAATGACATACGTATCTGTGAATTACTGTACATGTTGCTTTTGCCCACATAACAGTGTAGTTACGGCATCTCCTTTTTCCATGTGCTTACATCCTGTATCTTGCGGCTTTTGTTTTGCATGTGCTAGTTTGAGAGAGAGGCAGAAGAGAAAGAGAGGAAGTGAAGACAAAAAAACTATTATGGAGTGAGTGTAAGCAAGAGGTCTATTTAGAAGGGGCTTTGCTTGGGTGGAATCATATGGAATTTTATTACAGTAAACAAAGAGAAGATACATAAGCGCGCCATTATACAAACAAGTGAAAGAGAGGGAGAGAAAGAGTGCTGTATTTCAAGACTGAGTGGGGGATTGTCTGAAGTAAACCCAAAATGTCAAAGGCTCTAAGAGGTGAAAAAAGCCATCTGACTACACTACATTTGTGGGCTGCTATGATCCTAATAGCTAAATAATTCAGAAATACACAATGTAGCAACATAGGACATATAGGGCAGCATTCCTTTGAACAACTCGAGTTAAAAGTCCATGGACGGTCTCACTCACGCCCCTCTTTTCTCAGAAAAACTTTCCTTCATCTCCAGGGGAAACTGGAAGCGGTTGCTTAGAACATCTCAAAGGTTTGCCTGCTATCCAAGACTGAACTTTTGTTTTGTACTTGAAGTGCTGTGGGTGAAATGCTCCCTGATTTTCCTGTTTGACTGCTTTTAGTTGACAGATAACCTGATACGGAGACATCTATTATCTTTCGCTTTCTCTGCTTCTTCTCTTTCTCCCCTTTTCCGTTCTGTTTCACTACTAAAAGTCTGTAACACAGAGGAAATTCCTGATTTTCAAGCCAAGTGGTTTCTTCCAAAAAATATTACTTGTATCTTTAATAAGTTGAATGATTACTGTAGGTAAAAAGTGTTTGTCCTAATGCTGTAGCTGAATTCAATCATTCACATGTCAAAACTTGGCCCGTCTATTGAGTCACACTATTTGCTTTTAACTACTCAGCCTCATGTTTTATAAAAAAAATTTGGAACACATAATGATTATGAATATACTAAAGCTGCTCCTTTACATACAATATAAATGCATAGTGATCGCTGGCTGTCAAGGTATTGGAATCCAGGTCATTTTTCCTGAATTATATATAGCATGTTAAATTAAAATTGCGCCACTCAACAAACACGTCTAAAACAAACAAACAAAAAATGTTCAAAAGTGTTTTGTTTTCTATTGGTCATATCTTGGTCAGCAAAGATCACCTTCTCAATAAAGATCAGATCATGCTCTGGGCCACCAGAAAGAGACAAGAAGAAGAAACTAACTGAGATTTGTTGGTTTGGCTGCATCACTGCATACATACTAGGATTGTGTGATCAGAAATCTGTGTTTGCATGCATGTGGAATGATATCACAGGGGGTTTGGCCATTCAAAATCTGCACCCTTCATTTCACACGCTTGCCCTACTACACAAATCTCCATGGCAACCTCAGTAGGTCATCCAATGAGAAGTGGAGGTGGGGCCGGGGGGCGGGGGGTACACACGGCTGACGGAGAGTTTTGAGGACACTGATTGGAGTGAGAATGGTGCAATGTGAGTTTGTGCAAATTCACGCACACTTGGGAGACTCAAATCTCATTTCTCACACTCGCACTCTTTCATTTGCTGCAACCTCATGAGAATATCACACCCTTTAGTTACTCTTTAGTTTCATGCTTTAAAAACAATACTTTTTGTTTGACTGTGTTGTTAATATTTCGTCATTTTTACACTAACTCTGGCATTCTCTAACCAATGGATGATGTCATTTCCTTA